AAGGAATTTACTATGAGTGCCTGAGTTTTTAGAATGACATTCTTTACATTTTTTTCTGATTTTCTTCAAATACCCAAAAGGTTTATTATAGAACAGAAATAGGAGTCATCTGATGTTTTATTTGTACTGATTGCCCTCTGACATCTGTCTACAGGAATGTGTGTTTTCCATGGTGCAGAGGACAGGACACCTCCGGAAATTGCAGTGTGTTCCAGGTTTACAATCGTTTTACAATCATTCAGTGTAAATAAGCAGAGGTGATATGTCAGGTACACAATGCCCCACAGTAACCAGAAATCTCTCTTCCTGCACTCAAAATATGGAATCAAACACTTGCTGAGGTGCCGCCCTTGATAGATCAGGGAATCTTGATACTAGCAGAAAAGTTGAGTTATGAAGTGGTATCAAAAAGTTTTGTAACACACAAAACAGATGGCAGCCACAAGGCTACAGGCACAGTCACAGGATGCCCCGAGCTTCGTAAGTCAATGTGCCAAAAGACATTGTCCTGTGTACAGCAAGAGCTGTGCAACTGGTGCTCTTCTGACCATTTGCGTTACCATGTGTTGCAGAACTAGTCTCTAAACTTTTTGACAACACCTCATACATACGTATGGTAGCTTGGTGATAGTAGTATTTTTAGAGAGTCCATGACAGCCTACTGTGTTTTATTTGGGCAGGTCGGCCCACTTTTTTCAAACAAAATAAAGTCCAATGTATAGTAGTTGCCCACGCAGGGGTTTTTCCACAATCAAAACAGGAACTGTGAAAATAATAACTAAGATACCAGGCTTCCTCTCTTCAGCAGTGTTGTTAAAAAGGCCTTCAGCCTTACATATGTGTTTCTGTGCCCCTCTCTCTGCTCTCCTAGCTTTCCTGGTTCTCAGCTCTCCAGACACTGTCAGTTCTCCTGGCTCTCTCAGCTCTCCGGACACTTTAAGCTCTTCTGGCTCTCTCAGCTCTCCAGACATGCTCACCTCTCTGGACACTCTCAGTTCTCCTGGGTCTCTCAGCTCTCTGAACATCTTAAGCTCTCCTGGCTCTCTCAGCTCTCCGGCCATGTTAAGCTGTCCTTGCTCTCTCAGTTCTCCAGACATGCTCAGCTCTCTGGGCACTCTCAGTTCTCCTGGCTCTCTCAGCTCTCTGGACACTCTCAGTTCTCCTGGCTCTCTCAGCTCTCTGGACACTCTCAGTTCTCCTGGCTCTCTCAGCTCTCTGGACACTCTCAGTTCTCCTGGCTCTCTCAGCTCTCTGGACACTCTCCGTTCTCCTGGCTCTCTCTCAGCTTTCTGGACACTTTAAGCTCCCCTGGCTCTCTCAGCTCTCTGGACATTTTAGGATCTCCTTGTTCTCTCAGCTCTCTGAACACTTTAAGCTCTCCTGGCTCTCTCAGCTCTTTGAACATTTTAGGCTCTCCTAGCTCTCTCAGCTCTCCGAACATTTTAAGCTCTCCTGACTCTCTGTTCTCCAGACATGCTCAGCTCTCTGGACACTCTCAGTTCTCCTGGCTCTTAGCTCTCTGGACACTTTAACCTCTCCTGACTCTCTCAGCTCTCAAGACACTTTAAGCCCTTCTGGCTCTCTCAGTTCTCCAGACACTTTACACTTCTCTGGTTCTCTCAGCTCTCCAAACATGCTCAGCTCTCTCTACACTCTCAGTTCTCCTGGCTGTCTTAGCTCTCCAGACACTTTTAGCTCTCCTGGCTGTCTCAGCTCTCTGGACACTCTCAGTTGTCCTGTCTCTCTCAGCTCTCTAGACACTTTTAGTTCTCCTGGTTGTCTTTGCTCTCCAGACACTCTCTGTTCTCCTGGCTCTCTTAGCTCTCTGGACAATTTAAGCTCTTCTGGCTCTCTCAGCTCTCATGGACACTCATTCTCCTGGCTGTCTTAGCTCTCCAGACAGTCCAGTTTTCCTTGCTCTCTCAGCTCTCTGAACACTTTAAGCTGTCCTGGCTCTCTCAGCTCTCCGAACATTTTAAGCTGTCCTGGCTCTCTCAGCTCTCCGAACATTTTAAGCTGTCCTGGCTCTCTCAGCTCTCCGACACTTTAAGCTGTCCTGGCTCTCTCAGCTCTCCGAACATTTTAAGCTCTCCTGGCTTTCTCAGATCTCCTGGACACTCTCAGCTCTCTCAGCTCTCCAGACAGCTCCGCTCTCTGGACATTCTCAGTTCTCCTGGCTCTCTCAGTTCTCTATGGACACTCTCAGTTCTCCTAGCTCTCTCAACTCTCAGAACATTTTAAGCTCTCCTGGCTCTCTCAGCTCTCAGAACATTTTAAGCTCTCCTGGCTTTCTCAGCTCTCCATATATGCTCAGTTCTCTGGACACTCAGTTTTCCTGGCTCTCTCAGCTCTCTGGACACTCTCAGTTCTCCTGGCTCTCTCAGCTCTCTGGACACTCTCAGTTCTCCTGGCTCTCTCAGCTCTCTGGACACTCTCAGTTCTCCTGGCTCTCTCAGCTCTCTGGACGCTTTCAGCTCTCTCTCTGGCTTTCTCAGCTCTCCAGATATGCTCAGCTCTCCTGGCTTTCTCAGCTTTCCAGATCATGCTCAGCTCTCTGGACACTCTCAGTTCTCCTAGCTCTCTCAGTTCTCAGAACATTTTAAGCTCTCCTGGCTTTCTCAGCTCTCCAGACACTTTAAGCTCTCCTGGCTTTCTCAGCTCTCCATATATGCTCAGTTCTCTGGACACTCAGTTTTCTTGGCTCTCTCAGCTCTCTGGACACTCTCAGTTCTCCTGGCTCTCTCAGCTCTCTGGACACTCTCAGTTCTCCTGGCTCTCTCAGCTCTCTGGACGCTTTCAGCTCTCCTGGCTTTCTCAGCTTTCCAGATATGCTCAGCTCTCTGGACACTCTCAGTTCTCCTAGCTCTCTCAGTTCTCAGAACATTTTAAGCTCTCCTGGGTCTCTCAGCTCTCGGAACATTTTAAGCTCTCCTGGCTTTCTCAGCTCTCCATATATGCTCAGCTCTCTGGACACTCTCAGTTCTCCTGGCTCTCTCAGCTCTCTGGACACTCTCAGTTCTCCTGCTCTCTCAGCTCTTTGGACACTCTCAGTTCTCCTTGCTCTCTCAGCTCTTTGGACACTCTCAGTTCTCCTTGCTCTCTCAGCTCTTTGGACACTCTCAGTTCTCCTGGCTCTCTCGGCTCTTTGGACACTCTCAGTTCTCCTGGCTCTCTCGGCTCTTTGGACACTCTCAGTTCTCCTGGCTCTCTCGGCTCTTTGGACACTCTCAGTTCTCCTGGCTCTCTCGGCTCTTTGGACACTCTCAGTTCTCCTGGCTTTCTCAGCTCTCCGGACACTTTCAGCTCTCCTGGCTTTCTCAGCTCTCCAGATATGCTCAGCTCTCTGGACACTCTCAGTTCTCCTGGCTCTCTCAGCTCTCTGGACACTTTAAGCTCTCTCAGCTCTCCAGACACTCTCAGTTCTCCTGGTTGCCTTCAGCCACCATTCTCCTCAATATTTCAGAGCCCCGCACTCTGTATTCACGTGAACCCTGTGTCCCTTCTGCTTCCTTTTTTCACAGTGTCAGGGCCTAGCGCTGTCACAATGAGTTTAAGCAGGCCGATGAGTCAACACTCTGTTGTTTCCTTGTCAGCACACCTGATTGGGTAAGCGTTTTTGTGCCCCCCCCCTTTCACAGTTTGAATTATTCTGTACAGGGGATTGCAAGAGGCCGATACACTCAGATTCAGGCTCCTAGTTGCATTTATCAATGCTTGTAACTATTTTTGGTTAACAAATACCTGCATTCATTGATTTTTTTTTTTAATCTACATGGAACTCAGTTAATGAGGAAAAACTTGGTGTTGGGACTACTAACCTTTCTGGGAACATTTACACATGCTTTTCTGCCTATCCTGCCGTCAGCTAATAATGGAATCTTCTACTCTTCCTACCAGTCCGTCCCCCACAGTTACCCTAGCCCCTCCCTCCTAGATTGTAAGCTCTGAGGATCAGGCCCTCCTATCCCTCTTGTATTGAGCTGTATTGTTGCTGTATTGTCTCCCGTTATATTGTAAAGCGCTGAGCAAACTGTTGGCGCTATATAAATCCTGTATAATAATAATATTAATTCTTTGCCTTCTATATTTTCACTGACCTGGAGCACATATAAGGGATTCTTCCTGCTCTGATTTTCGATTGTTGTATGCTTGTTTCAGGTCTATGGCTTGGCAGGGGTGTTGCTGGGTAGTTAGTATTGTTATAAGAAAACCATTGCTTACATGACAGGTGGGGTACGACGTAGCGCTGCAGATGTCATAGGAACTGATGGGGGGGTTGGTCATGACAGTAAGGGGCACAAGGAAAGGGGATGGAATAATAGTGAGATGTGGCGAGGAGTAGAGCTTACATGGGGAGCTGTACTTGCAGACACAACCTACTGTAAGTACTTAAAGGAAATAATTCCCCAGCACTCAGCCCTGCCAGGTAGCAAATGGGACCTAATTAAATCCTGCTTATTAAGTGGAAATGAGCGCACCGTAGCTGCCCTGGGAGCTCCTTACAGAGGTATAGTCTAAGCAGGTGGCATGGAGGACATGCTCACGATGAGGGCCAAAAGGGATCAGGTTGCACAGCAATTCTAGATCCACCGCTGGAAAGCAGACGCAAATGGTTTTTTTTTTACACTACTTGACATCGTAAATGACACTTAGTGTCATCTTGTATAAATTTTACTGACTATTAATAGTGTCAATGTCTAGGTCGCTTAGTCTATCAATTATGTCACTGTCATCAGGTCACACTGGACATCCGCCAACTCCTTCTCATGTTCTTATAGGCCCTGTTTACAGAATCTGCAGCTATTGATGAACCACAAGTCCCAGTATACCGACTGCATTTCCTCAACATAAGTAGATTGTGGCTGCTCATACAGCCTAATTGTTTCTACTGGAAATCTCATTCTGTCCTAGTAAATACCTGCAGATCAGAGGTCACCTTTTATCAGGATAGAGCGTTTCACTGGCACAGCAATAACTGGCAGTACTTTTGTCCTCTGCAGAAAGCACAGGGATTTCACGCTGCCTCTGAGACTGCGGGGTCGTACTCTAGACATATGGGGACGGATCAAGATGAGAGCGGATACCAGACACAGTTCAATGCTGCCGTGTCAGTTATTCAGAGCTTGCCCAAAAGTGGTATGTATAACCTTCATAGTTCTGCAATAATAAATAGTATATGCAAACGCCGATCTAATATCAAGTTACACAGCAAATCCACTGAGAATAGACTTGTCTACTCTGAGTGGAGTGAAGATGGGTTTGAGACCCTGCCTGGGTATGTAAGGTCCACGGGATTTCAGTGTATGTGTGCTATGTGGTGGAGGATGGGGACAAGGGGTACTTACCCTTTCCAAGCTCTTTAACATCTTGGTGGGGGCTTTAATGCTGCCCAGTGTAATCAAAATGGAATAGCTTGTTACAGAAAGATTTGTGGCCTATATTTGCTGAATGGGATGCAAAAGTAGAATTTGCATGAGTAACTCCAGCTTAAACTTTTATTTTAGTTTTGAACAGAATGAGAAATGTTAGGGCTTGGATTAGGGTTTTTTTTTTTACTTTCAGTGTCCCTGTTGAGATGATTTCCTCTCCCTTCCTGTTAGGTAAATGGCACAGGAAGTTACATAGTTAGTCTGGCTGAAAATAGACAAAAGTCCATCCAGTTTCACCATTAAAAAAAAAAAGTTATAATCCTAAACCCACAGTTGATCCAGAGGAAGGCAAAAAAACCCCAGCAAAGCAGGATCCAATTTGCTCCTGCAGGGAAAAAAATTCCTTCCTGATCCCCCGAGGCAATCTGATATTCCCTGGATCAACTTTACCTATAAATGTTATATCCAGTTATATTCTGTGTATCCAAGAAAGAATCCAGGACTTTTTTAAAGCAATCCACTGAGCTGGCCAGAATCAACTCTTGAGGGAGTCTATTCCACATATTTCTCACTGTGAAAAAACCTTTCCATATTTGGAGATTAAATTTCTTTTCCTCCAGACGTAAAGAGTCCCCCCTTGTCCTCTGTGATAACCTCAGGGTGAATAGCTCTACACCGAGTTCACTATATGAACCACTGATGTATTTATACATGTAGGGAAGTGGGGGTGAATGTGACAGGGGCACAGCTATAAAAGCACCTTTTTGTTTAGAGTGAGAAATATATAGAACCCCTTAATTTGGACAGCTATCTTAATTATTCAATTAGGTGCACAAAGCCAGCTCCATAAAGACATGGTTTGATGGGTTTGGTGTGGAGGTACTCACATGGCCTGCACAGAGTCCTGACCTCAACCCTATTGAACATTTTGGTATGAATTGGAATGCCAACTGCAGGCCATGTCTTGTTGGCCAAAATCAGTATATGAGCTCACTAATGGTCTTGTGGACACAAATTCCCATGTACACTGTCCAAAATCTTGCAGAAAGCCTTCCCAGAAGAATGGAAATTGTTGTAGCCACAGAAGGCTACAACTCTTTATTAATGTCTATGATTTTATTATTATACAGGATTTATATAGCACCAACAGTATGTGTAGACAGTACAGTTATTATGCAATTGGATACAAGAGGGTTAGAAGGGCCCTGCTCATAAGAGCTTACATTCTAATAGAGAGGGGAATAGGAAGTTTACCATACAGATGTGAAACCTTTGGATATATAACAATCAGACCCTTTTCATCTCTCTTTCTCTAGGCTCATATCGCCCTTCCTATGAAGAGATGCTTCTCTTTTACAGCTACTACAAGCAAGCCACGGTTGGACCTTGCAATATCGCCCGTCCTGGTTTCTGGGATCCCATTGGAAGATATAAATGGTATGATCTCTGCTGTACCTTGGGGAAGGTGGTTGTGTTGTTTATGGCAACTGCTTAGCAGATGTCATATATGTCACAGGTGTTACCTACATGTACCTGTACAAATCAATGATAGGATGTGAGCATACAATGGTAAACGCAGTCCCGAACGTATACATTTGTGGAAGTATCAGTGTACACCTCTGCTAAGACAGTCTGCTATGATTAAGACCCCACGTAGCTGAAACGCGTTAGCAGGCTTTGTCTCACGTATGCTGATGGAAGAAAAACATGGTATTTTAGAACTTAGGACCATGTGCAGGAGTATTCATCTTACACCTGTGACTTCCAGGTACAGAAATAAGATCAGTGTTTAGGCTGTACAGTCCCCTGCGCCCATGTGAATAAGCCCTAATAGACTTTGTACACACAAGACTCACTGAGCTAATCACAAATATACTGTGTATGTGTATATATATATTTCACAATTAAAAAACAGTGGCTAGTGATTCATTTTTGGTCCAGATAATATTTGGTCACTGGAAGTTTCATGCAGAGTTCAACTTTCAACAGCCAAATAACAAATTTTCTCCTGAGCATCATTCATTTACACTGGACCTGGCATATGAATGAATGCTTTCAACAGCCAAATATCTTTTCTCCTGAGCATCATTCATTTACACTGGACCTGTCATATAAATGAACACTTTCAACAGCCAATTGTCTTTTCTCCTGAGCATCATTCATTTACACTGGACCTGTCATATGAATGAATACTTTCAACAGCCAAATATCTTTTCTCCTGAGCATCATTCATTTACACTGGACCTGTCATATGAATGAATACTTTCAACAGCCAAATAACTTTTCTCCTGAGCATCATTCATTTACACTGGACCTGTCATATGAATGAATACTTTCAACAGCCAAATAACTTTTTTTCTCCTGAGCATCATTCATTTACACTAGACCTGTCATAGAATGAAGACTTCACATGGATCCTATCAGCCTAACTACAGTAAATCACATTATCACTGTGAGGGAAAGAGTAGTTCTTTCTTGCTGTGGAGCTCTGCTTTGTAGCATGGTCTCTGGCTTCCTGAGTACTTCATAACATTAGTGTTTTGCAGAGAGATTGCAGCGTTCAACCCGGCAGATCCTGATCTGCTTGCTTGTTCCTGATCACTTTCGCAACATATTGCAGTCAGAGATAGCCAAGCAACTAGCATTTTTTGAGGGGGCTCAGCAATGACAGCCCTATATTTCCCACTATTAGGATTACTACAGATGAGTGCTAGGTGTACAGTGCACTAAGTTCTTGTCTTTTCAGAGCTGCCATGCAAGCCTTCCATGAGGTCCTTTCACACAGGGAACATAAGTGGTGCCGTGACACTAGCACTACACAGTGCCAGGAGCACTGTTGTTCTTGATGACATGCAGTGCAATTATTATTATTATACTGGATTTATATAGCGCCAACAGTTTGCTCAGCACTTTACAATATAGCGGGAGACAATACAGCAACAATACAGTTCAATACAAGAGGGATAGGAGGGCCTGATCCTTGGAGCTTACAATCTAAGAGAATGCAGATGTTTGGCTCAGTAAAACCTTTAGCCCTGACCTGAGTGCAGTCAGCTTTTTTCTGGTCTTTAACTTCTAATTATCATAGATCTTTAATAGCTAGGTATGAAAGTAAAGGTGGGTGCGTGAATTTGATGACAGCAGTCTTGTTACATATTGTCAATTGATGTTTGCAGGGATGCCTGGAACAAGCTGGGTCAGATGAGCCAGGATGATGCCATGTGTGCTTATATCAGAGAAATGAAGAAAGTAGCCCAAAAGGTAACACATATATCGCTAATTTCATTATAATAGATTAAAAAGTGATTTTAAACCCATGACAACCTGTCAGATTCCAGCTCCTGCAGACTGGAGGGCTGCTATTGAAAACAGCACACTTTTATTAAAATTGTCCTAATGCATTTGAGATATGGCAGTGGGATTCTTTGGGACAGTGCCTATCTCATGTCAGAGGGGGCCTAAGAAAAAATCTTAAGGGGTCAGTTCATCCAAAACTAAATTTAAGTTATAAAGTGACTAAAGTGTGCCTAAAGCTGACCTTCACCATTGAAGGTTCTGTTGTGCCATCTAGCCTTCTCCCTCTCTTACAAATGAACACATTCTGTTTTTTTGTTTTTTTTTAGCAAAGTACATTATTCACTTCTGCATTTCTTGCCTAGAGGCAAGAAGCTCTCCCCTCCCCCCTGCATGTGCAGATGTGCCGCAGGTTTCTGGTTCAAATTGAGCCCTGCAGCACCTCTGCGCATGTGGCGGTTTCCTCATCCATCCGCACATGCATGGGTTTTTCTTTCACACAAAGACTGCTAGCAGGGAGGTCTGAAACATTCCCTGTCTTTGTGGATGCAAGAAAAATCACCTGCATGTGTACAGATGTGCCGATGGCCTTTGACAGAACTCAACTGCCCACTTTCTTGCTTAAGCTGGCCCCCCACAGCTTGATTTTCAGCCCATTCCTGCTGAATCGACTGAAATCCAAGCCGTAAGAGGCCCTGACAGCATCACCCGGCTCAGAAAAAGTTGATTCAAAATTGGTGGAAAATTATTGACCAACCAGATGCAGTCACTGTTTGGATATCAAGGCAGCTATGTCAGCTGCCTGAATACAATTGCTGGCAGTGATTTCTCCATTCACACTGTTTAGCATAGATGAGTCAATCAATTGATATTCTCCTGTTTTGCTGTGTATGGCTAGCATTAGTAATGTGCAGGAAATGGAAAATATAACCAGGATAATAAAGCTGGCCATACACGGTGCAAAACTCGAGGATGGCCCTGTTGGTACCCTTCCACCCAACAACCTTCACTTTAAAAAAACAAGGGAGCCAGGCAGAAAATCAAACAGCAGTTGTATCCAATGAAATGCAGCCATTGATCAGGTTATGTGACAATCATGGGCATCCGCAGTTGGAATAGAGTATCCTACAGGGGAGAAATCTTGCAGTGTATGGCCATTTTAAAGCCCCTTCAGAGGTGAGGGTGACCCTGGAACCTCAAGTGCGCAAGTCCTGCTAGCCCCAAGAGAGATAAGAAAGCAGCAGGGACATCAAAATTACAATTATTTCCATTTTCAATTATATTGCTGTACACAGTATTCAATTAAATCAAAAGTTTGGCAAAATAGTTTTTGGCCATATTTTTCTTGTGAATCACAGGAGTGCACGTATTTCTGTACTCCTGTGAGCCAGATTCAGCCTCAGATTCAGATGTTGGCTAATGTCACAGAGGGAGAGACTTTAAGGTCAGATCCATCCAGATTCCTGACAGCAGCTGTCTCAGCCTCTTAGCGCACCGCTGAGAACCTGAGCCACTTCTGCCCGCTCCTCAGCCCAGTACTCCAGTCAGCGATGACGGGGCAGAGCAAAGAGTGGTGACTGACAGTCTCCGCTCTCTGCTCATAGCGGACTGAGAACAGAGCGATCAGTGGTAATGTAATGTCTTGGATCAGTGCTGCAGGCATATAGGTGAGTACAAAAGTTTGTTATTTTGATTTCCCACATTTCTCCTTTAAGTTGAAAAACAAAATTGTACCATTTGTCAGACCATCTATAATTATCTTTAACTGCCGGGAAAATCAGCCTATAATGATTTGCCTTCCTCTAGATCAGTATTTTTTTTCAACAATGTAATTATGTAATCAAAGTATTCAGATATCATTATACACTCATAACTGATTAAACAGCACTAGTCAGCAATGTTACTGTTACCTTGGCTACCCTCCTCCTGCTTAAAGCACAACTCCACCTTTTTATAAAGAAAGATAAAAAATAAACAGACCACACCTAAAATAATTATTTTTTCTTCTTCAGCACTGCCCACCGCAAACTAGTGCTAGTACTCTTCTGGGTTGAATTTTGCTTGGCATCATGAGCCTAAGCTGTCATGAACACATACCCCTTGGGTGGGCGGCATCACACTGGCTTGAGCTCATTGCACTCTTGGAAAAGAGATTCACTCACACATCATTACATAAGCATTGCTCTGTCCAGGAGTAAGGACTGCTCATCACCGCTCCAGAGAAGAAGAGGGAGGACCTGTGACTTCACATAGCATCTATAAAGACTACAGAGTGTATATATGTATAAGTTATTTTCATAAAAAAGGAAGGTGGGGGCAGGGCCATCTTAATAGCATCATGGGCCCCTGGGCAAAGTAATGCACTGGGGACCCTACCAGTATGCCTCAATTTACGCTCAAGAATTAAAGTATAAATAGCTGATAGAATTAAACATATTTACTAGTACTTTCAATAAAGTTGATTTTAAACAACAAGAAAGCATGCCATAAATCAAAGACTAATCAACACAAAGGTCACAGTATTGGGGGGGAGGCAGAAGGGCACAGTACAGGGGAAGTCAGTAGAGATCACGAGGCACAGTACAGGTTCGAGGGTGCTGCTTGGGCCATCCTGTGACAGCTGAGTAAAAAGCGTGACTGTTCCGGAAAATTATTTGTTTATTTCAGGTACTTATATAGCGCCATCAATTTACACAGCGCTTTACATATATATTGTACATTCACATCAGTCCCTAACCCTCAAGGGGTGTACAATCTAAGGTCCCTGGCTTACATTCATACATACACATACTAGGGACAATTTAGACAGGATCCATTTAACCTATCAGCGTGTCTTTTGAGTGTGGGAGGAAACCCACGCAGGCACAGGGAGAACATGCAAACTCTAGGCAGGTGGTGCCATGGTTGGGATTTGAACTAACGACCCTAGTACTGCCAGGCGGAAGTGCTAACCATTTAGCCACTGTGCTGCCCAGGACAGTTGGCAAGAATGATGTAATGCAAGATTATTATGGGACCCCCATACACCTGGGGCCCCTGGGCAGTGCCCATGCATTAAGGTACCCCTGGGTGGGGGTAAAATAGAAGGTGGAGTTGGGCTTTAACACCGAAGATGTGAATCATCATTACTATCCCTCATTTCAGATTATCAACACAATCCCTTTGGAAGACACAACACCTGAGATGTTTGAGCCTTTCCGTCCCCTGTATGAAGTCATTCCAGATATGCCCCGCCCTCCAGATTCCTTTTTCAAGAATACCACTGGTGAGTTGGCCGCCTTAAAGCAATCTACACATTCTTGTTGCAATCCAGCTGTGATAGTCAGATAATTCCTCCTGCAGAATAAGCTCCATACAGGGCAGTAGCAGTGTACTGCTGTTTAACCTTTTTCTCATTCAGCTTCTTGCATGACCAGTCACATTCAGACTACCAAGGCGAGTTTAAATCTGACTGCCGGCTGTGAGGATCCAGTTGGAATTCTTGCTTAATCTTCCCATTGCAGGTAATGCCTTGTTACTATGGGCAACATCTTTAGCTTCTCTGGCTCTACTTTTTATAAATCACTCCCATTGGTGGCATAGGCAAAATGAAATCGAGCAAAAATGGTACACGCTAATATACTGTCTATGGAAAGGAATTGATAAAACAGCCTGGCCAAGACTTATCTTATCTCCCGGAAAGTGTTATCTTCCAAATAGCATTCACCATCCAGATGTGTCTTGATGATGTAGCCAGGGGTGTCAAACTGGCGGCCCTCCAGCTGTTGTGAGACTACAAGGCTACGTTCACACTAGCCTTGTTTGCAAGCGGCAGACAGGCGTTTGGGAAGCGTTTTTACCGCTTCCCAAATGCCTGTGAAAATTCTGCACATTGCAGCACATGGTGCTGTTCACACAGGAGCGTTAGCATCGCGGCAAAACAGACGCCTCTGGTCGAGTCAGGAGGAGTTGAAGCCTCTTATTCAAGTCTATGGTGCCGCTCCGCAAACGCCCGGCCGGCTTGTGCGGTGGCGACGCGGTTGCGGGGCGTTTGCGGAGCGGTAACACCATTCAAACTTCATTATAGGCGTTTGTGGGGCGTTTTTAAAAAATGCTCCACAAACGCCGGACCAACGCTTGTCAAACGCTATAGGGGCGTTTGACAAGAGTTGGAAAAACAGTCAAGTGTGAACGAACCCCAAGTCCCATCATGCCTCTGCCTTTGGAAGTCCTACTTCTAACTGTCAATCTTGCAATGCCTTATAGGACTTGTAGTTTGGCAACAGCTGGAGGGCCGCCAGTTTGACACCCGTGTTCTAGAGGGATCCCACAGGTATGGTATATACATAGTTCCATTCATCCAAGCTGGTCCAATGTAACTAGGAATTCAGCTCTAAATGACAACGCTGGACCATGCTACCTGGTATTCCTTCAAATTCAAGTTGCAAATGTAAAAATCTTGAGATGTATAGGTATAGCAATAACGTTTGCGCAAATGATTTTGAGAACTTTGTCCTAGGTTCTGTTTTAGGAATGTATTTAGAATGTTGCAAAGTTGTGCGGAAATTGTTGGTACCATGCAATATTTTCATTTTGCGTAGACTGACTTAAAGGAAAACTCCACTTTTGTTAAAAAAAATATAAAAAGTTATTTTGTAAGTTGTTATTAAAAATGACCTTCACATTTCAATGTGCAGCTGCTGTAATGTCCTAAAATTGTCAGAAAAATGAATGCAATATTGCAACCTGAAGGGTTTTTGTTTGCACAGGAAGCCCCCTGAAAATGTTCTTTCTTCCTTGCGTGATTTTCAGATGCCTCCACTAAGATTCTAAGCAGGGGCGGACTGACCATTCGGGTACTCTGGCACCGCCCGAGGGCCTAGGGTCAGTAGGGGGCCCCATATGATGCCCCTGGTACCTTTCATAGGCTTTTTTGGGTGTGGTTTGAGTGTGGGCGAGGACAAAGGGGCCCCATGAATCCCCTATTGCCCGGGGGTCCCATGAGTTGTCAGTCCGCTCCTGATTCGAAGATAAAATTTTAATAAACTATTGTCAAACCCTGCATTAGAATCTCATTTTAGTGAGATACTTCCTAAGACTTGTCTGCTAAAGGGATGCAGACCCTGCAGCTTTCCTTTAGAACACTGAAAGTACACTAGGTGGTTATATTGAACCCTCCCATTCAGAAATCTGGAAAGGATGTGATGAAACAGCTAATTCTTCAGAACAGAAAATGTAAGAATCTGCAATAGGTTTTTTTAAATGTTGCAATGTACAGTTGTGCTGAAAGGTTTGCATACTCTGGCAGAAATCATGAAATTTTGGCATTGATATAAAAATTTGACCGATCATGCCAAAAAACTGTCTTTTATTTAAGGATAGTGATCATATGAAGTTATTTATTATCACATAATGATTTGGCTATTTTTTAAATCATAATGATAACAGAAATCAACCAAATGGCCCGGATCAAAAGTTTACATACACTGGAATGTTTGCCTTGGCACAGACATACAAGGTGACACACTCGGGATAAAATGGCAATTAAAGGGTATTTCCGACATCTGTGGCTTTTTAAATTTCAATTAGTGTCTGTATATAAATAGTCAATGAGTTTCTTAGCTCTTATATAGATGCACTGAACTGGCTAGACACTCAGCCTTGGAGAGAGCAGAAAAGACCTGCGTAACAAGTTAATAGAACTTTATAAAGATAGGATAGGATATAAAAGATATCCAAAGTCTTGAATATGCCTGTCAGTACTGTTCAATCATTTATTAAGAAGTGGATACCATACAAAGGTCACATAGACTAAGAAAGATTGCAGCCACAACTGGCAGAAGGATTATTCGGGATACCAAAAAAAACCCACAGGTAACTTCAAGAGAAATGCAGGCTGCTCTGGAAAAAGGCGGTGTGATTGTTTCAAGGACCACAATAAGATGACACTTGAAGAAAAATTAGCTACATGGCCAGGGGCGGACTGACAACTCATGGGGCCCCCGGGCAATAGGGGATCATGGGGCCCCTGTGTCCTTGCCCAAACTCAAAAAGCCTATGAAAAAGGTACCAGGGGCATCTGATGAGGCCCCCTACTGACCCCGGGCCCTCGGGCAGTGCCTGAGTTTCCAAATGGTCAGTCCGCCCCTGTACATGGCCAACTTGCCAGAAAGAAGCCTTTACTGCACCAATGCCACGCAAAATCCTGGTTACAACATGCCTGACAACACGTTGACACGCCTCACAGCTTCTGACACACTGTAATTTGGAGGGACAAGACCAAAATAAAGCCATATGGTCACAACCATAAGCACTATGTTTGGAGAGGGGTCAACAAAGCCTATAGCGACAAGAATACAATCCCCACTGTGAAGCATGGTGGTGGCTCACAGATGTTTTGGGGGGGGGGGGCGTGAGCTCTAAAGGCACTAGGAATATTGTGAAAATTGAAAGCAAGATGAATGAAACATGTTTTAAGAAAAATACTGGCAGACAATTTGCATTCTTCAGCACGAAAGCTGAACATTCAACGCTTTTGGACCTTCCAGCATGACCCTAGGCACAAGGTCAAGTTGACCCTCCAGTGGTTACAGCAGAAAAAAGCTGAAGGTTCAGGAGTGGCCATCACAGTCTCCTTACCTTCATATCATCAAGCCAGGGGAGATCTCAAACGTGTGGTTCATGCAAGATGACCAAAGACTTTACATGACCTGGAGGCATTTTGCCAAGATGAATGGGCAGCTATACCACCTGCAAGAATTCAGGGCCTCATAGACAACTATTACAGAAGACTCCACGTGCTCATTGATGCTAAAAGGGGAAATACATGATACTAAAACCTAAGGGTATGCAGACTTTTTAACAGGGAACATTTTATTTGTTTACTTGTTGTCGTGTTTTGTTTTATGATTGTGCCATTCTATTATGACCTACAGTTGAATATGATCCCATAAGAAATAAAAGAAATGTGTTTGCATACTCACTCATGTTTTCTTTTAAAAAAATTGTACATAATGGTATCAATTCTCCAAGGGTATGAAAACTTTTGAGCACAACTGTAAATTGATCACTCATAAGTTATTGGGGGTTTTTTTCTCAGCAAAAGTGGAGCTATAGTTAAGAGGGTGTAGAGGGGGTTATTTTTTTTATTTTTTATTTTTTTACAGTTGTTTTGTGACCAAAGCCACTGCATGAACAATTACCTAGCATTGGGTTATCTTTGCCAATAAAGAATGCATCGTCATAAGGTATCTGCACTGTGGCAGTATGGGGAGTGTTGCTACATTGATGAACCCGATAGGTTTGCTTCAATGTGTGTGGCTGCCTTCATAATGTCCATATATGCCTTAATAATTCCATATATATATATATATATATATATATATGTAATATAGGAAACACATATGAAAATAGCAAGCCAGGTCTCTGCTACTGATCCCTTCAAGCTACACGTATTCAGAGCTGATCATTATAGATGGGCATCCATGATTGGAACAGCCCAGTGACTTACTATATCTTTTGGGGGCTCCAGCCGTGAAAGCACATAAAGGAAGTTCTTGCTCAGGCAGTAGAGTCCCCCTGTTTACCCTGCTAAAGCTTACCCAAAACGTAAAGTAATTGTGGGTGAGCGTCAAAACTTGTTCAGTCTTTTTTTTCATCTGTGGCAGACATAGACAACCGTTTTAGGAGACCAGTTCACATTTCAATTACCGGGAAGTTGCAAAGCATTTCTTTGTTTTTATATTGCAGAAGAGGAGACTTTTGAAGATAAGTACCAGGCATTAAAGGAAGAAGGAGAAGAGCAATATGTATCCAAAGCAGAGCAAATGGAACTGGGTGCTCAACGAGGTCAGGGAGGAGAGGAGGAACGGAAAGATCCTGTAGGTCTGTGTGCTATGCAAATTCTAGTCTGCAGTCATTGTTTACTGTAATGGATGCTGTAATCATGTGCCTGAGATTATAAAGAAGGGTATGAATATTTTTTTCTTATTAGAATTTGTTAATACTAAAAAGGGGAAAAGGACACACAAATCTCACTTACATCCTCCAAAGGGTCAGTGGAGTGGGCATGTGTCAGGAGCTTGTAACCCTCCTGTTCCATGGCAGCTGTTCTCATTCCAGCATCCTGGTTTTGACTGAGCTGCACTCTCCCTGTCTGATTGTCCACCTGCAGGGTGATTGATGTAGACCGTCTCTGGGTGGAGACCAAACCTGTCTAAAGCCTGCCAAGCCCTTAGTGTCATGCTTCTGATAGTGTTTGCAACAGATGCTTCAAGCTTCCTGTTTGCCTGCCTTGTTCCCATGCCTTGACCTTTACCTTAGCCCTGCCCCACCTGCTAGTTTGGATTTCC